TCGAGTATATACTTATATTTTCACCTAATTAACCTGCTTATAACTTCTAAACAGCTGAAGGTAAAAAAGTGCAATTTTTTCTAAAATGTTTTATTTTTCCACAAGGTATGTTAAGAACATTGTGTCAAACGGGTTATGTAGGTATAAGGGTTTAAACTTTGACATTTAAACAACGTTACGTTCATAAATAATAATTTTAATATAAAAACTACTTCTTACTTACAAATCCAAATCAGAATCAAAATCAGAAGATGAACTGCCGCAACCAATATTTACAATGAGTGGCTCGATCATTTCATCAGTAATATTGTCCAACTTCCACATTTTCTCTTCTTCTTTAATCGTATGATTTACTGCCTTTTCCCAGTTTTCATATTATTTACAGCCTCCAAAAACAACTGTTTAACATCACTCATTTTAAAAGAATTATTTTTTCTTGAAACTTCTCCCTTTATCTGTACCCATATCAGTTCAATCGGGTTTACTTCGTAATGATATGGTGGTGATCTAACCACCGTCATCTCACGATTTTTTGCAATTTCATCAATTTCATATTTTTTGAATTTATCTTTATAAAGGGAACACAAATGATACAGTTCTTTTCTCACAGAACCGGGATGGAACTTAATATTCTTTGAATTTAGCCAATTCTGTAAATCTTTTTTTAACCACTTGGTTGTGGGCATTCTTTCTATAAGTCTCGAGTGATAACTTGCATTATCCATCACTATTATACAGTTCTGAGGAAGAAGAGGTATAATTTGTTCGAACCACTCTTTAAAGACATTAGCATTCATGTCCTCATGGTAGTCACCAGTACGAGTAGATTCAAAAGTCAATAAACCAGCTTCAACAAAACCGTTTGAACTACCGATGTGTACTATTATTAGTCTGCGCCCCTTTCCTGATGGTGGAATTAAACCAGTAGATAAATTATTTAAAAAAGCCTGTCTTCGACTTGTAAGAGTTTCATCTTGCCAAAATTTATTTGGTCTATGTCCCTCGTTGATCCATGTTTCATCTAAATAAAATATATTTCTTCTTTGGTTTCTCATTTCTTTTATAGTCCTTAGGTAATTTCTTCTCCATACTACAATATCGCTTCTTTCTATTAAAATAGACTTTCTGGAATGCTTTTTTCAAAGAAAACCTATTTCTTTTAAAAGTTTTCATAGTGTGCTTCGACTCATTTCAGGGTAATCCTTACCATCTCGAACCGTGGCAAGAACTTTGTCTACTGTCGGAAATTCTTTTCTAAAGAAGAGCGCAAGCACTTTCCTTCGAAGTCTTTCTTTCAAAAGATTTTCTATTTGAAATTTTGGTTTTCCTGGAGCTTTACGTGCTGTTTGAAACTCGCCACATTTCTCTTCTTCAACAACTCTGTAAATCGTAGATTTCCCAACACCAAGCGTACTACTAACTAATTCCACTGTGTCATCAACACTTTTACATAAATGTTTGTTTGTAAATGATTTAAAATAATTAAATATTAATGTTTTTTCATTAATTGTTAAAGGACCGATTTTTTGTCGTTTACGCGGCCCTTCCAAATTTTCCATGATCACACTAGAATTCACACTCCACCTTGCAAGTTGCAACTAAACGACATTTAGTAAACTGTCAAGAATACACAACTTGGACCTCCTTACTAAATGGAAAACCTATAATCGCATTTTCGGTGAAATTTGTTGGGAAGGTATTTATCTACTTATAATTCGATTACTGTAAGAAATTCTTGGAATTAAAATAAAACAAAATTGGCAAATAGGTACTTATTAAAAATAATCTTAAGATACGGCTATGTAATCTTTAATACACAGGGCTTTTGGCCTGTCCAAACCTTTTTCTATTGTTCTGTACAGCTTATGTTTATAAAGGACCAATAAAAGACCCAAAACTTGTAATAGCTAAGGTACATTTATTACAATTTTAGGAAATATTTAGATTATTCTGTAAAAATATTTAAAATGACCGTACTAAGTTTTGCATTAGAATGGCTATTTTATTACTCTCTCATACATAAAAATAGACTATAAGAATGGAAAAAGAAAAACTAAAGATTCTCTAAATAAAAATAAGACGATTAAACGAAACATGCTTAATTAATGGCTATAATTTTTGGCATTTCTCTGTGTAATTTTACTTAGGTCGCCAAACATTTTTGGTTTTAAAAAGTGTAAAAAAATAAATTTTGCATAAAATGAAATAATGGACAAAACCACTTCTTAAAATATTTTAATTAATTTATACTCACCCCCAAATTGAAACTCATGGAACGCCCAAATGAGTGACCTAATAAAGATTTTTTAAGTTTAACGGTGGCACAGATATTAAATTTATTCGAAATTTATGGCCCCACTTTAGGCCTTCGTAACTCCTTAGAGTTACAACTTGGTATAGATGTAAATTGCATTAAATAGTCATATTTTGGAATGCCCAATACACACCTGTTCTGTGTCGGTACTTATGCGGAACATCCAGTATATGTTTTTTTAATATGCTTGTTCTTTTTATATTATAATAAAAAAAATTAAATGAGCTTTTGATTATAATAAAACAATAAAAAAAATATAAACTTTTGATTATAATATAATAAAAAAAATAAACTTTCAATTATAATTAAAAAAACAGTTAACTTTTGATTATAATAAAAAAATATTTTTGTGACGGTGAATTGTCGTAGCGATGAATTGTCGTAGCGATGAAATGTCGGCTCTGAATTGTCGCGCGATAAATTGACGTAGATCCGTAATTTAATGAAGTAAATCATGAAATAATCTAGAAGTCTATTACAGAGAACATGATTAAAACTTTCTATCATTCTCTTTCCCTCAGAGTAATGAGGTATCTATTTCATTTCTTAGCTAACTATAATATGAAATTGAGGAGTGAATAGATCTAATCTATAGAACGAGTAATATCTCGCTCTTGAGAAGTTCATAGCATACACATAGCAATATTGTATTTTTTGTTTTTCCTCTAGTAAGTTTAGTTATTAGTACTACATGAGAGATGTTCAGGACTAAAACTCTTTCAGTTATTTGGGTATAAAAGGTTTAATAATAAATAAATAAATAATAATAAAGGTATAATAACAAGACACTTGCAGAAAAACCTACTCAAGTACTCCTGTCTTGGAAATGCCATATTCACCCCTTTACAACAGCAGTAAGACTTTGTAGGTTATAGTTAGCACAAATTATTATATTCTAGTAATAAAAATAGTCATGGAAACTCACCTACTTCAATGCCTTTTTTTCCTAGAGCTTTATTTCTTCCACTTGAGTCTCTCTGGTTAGCATTTGTAAAATCATTGCATACACTCTATAAATTTGTGTAAATATATGCAAAATAAAAGTGGATATAATTAGAAGACTTCCATTACTTTCTTCTATAGTTTCTTACATCTTAAAGGATATAGTTAGAACCAAGTCTCTCGTATTCTCGGATCTGCGATCTTTTAAGTTCTGTTATTACAAGTGATACAAACTCTAGCATTGAAATCAAGTGATTGTACTCAAGTGATATAGATCTACCCCAGATATTCAGGTAACCATAATTAAATTCATGGTTTAAGCGGTATCTTTCTAAAGAACGGTAACCACAGCGGTAGTGGATCTCCCTAAAGGATATAATAATAAACAGGTAAATTAGTTTGATTCGGAGTAAATAACTTAGCTCTACATAAAATTATTTGCTCTTTTAAATTATTTTTAAATCGAACCAACCAGTAATATGGATAATTTCCTCCACAATTTCTATAATTCTGTAAACAGGAGTATGCATGCATACCACTGGTATTGATTTTGATGAAAATTTTATATTTTTGATAATATATATTTTAGATAATTTATATTATCTTGACGAATTATTATTCCCATGCGGCATATTTATTTTATAGGTTATATAATTTTTAATGTAAATTTAAATAGGTCCCCTTAGATTTCTTTTATTTTAGCGTTGCAGATATGCAATAATGGTATTTGTAAAACAGTATTTTTAAAATTATTAAAAGTTTTGTAATTTCTGTTATTTGGCTGCATAGTTCAAACACAATTTTTAAAACTAAATTTGAAAATTTCTGAAAGGAAAGGTGTCTAAGGGCAGACTTTGATTTTTTCACTTATAAATTCTTCTAGTTTACCCTGGGCATAAGGAACTATAATTTCAGCTTTAGAACGTAGCATGTAAATTAAACGCTGACACTGTTTTTTTATTATTGAAATCACAAAACAAAATACTGTTTATATACAACAAGTCTTCCGTGATCTCGAAAATTCCCTCCATGAATGCCTGCTTGGAACAGACTCTTTATCATACAGCCAGTCACAAAATGGAAGATTTAAATTTACTAATCAAATAATGAATGAAAAAGAGAATACATTAAATATTTAATTTCAAATAACAAGAGGAGATTAAACAGGGACACTCTCTTCTCGCCTAGGGACCTATTAAGTTATTTGAAGGATAATAATATGCATTCTTTAAATGTGTAATTTTAACACAAATGACTTGATAATTAAGGAGTTGTAAACATAAACAATCTTAGTATTTTAAAAAGTAATCATATTATTTTCACAGTGTCTAGGTACACGCTAACTTGTACGCAATTCAAAAAGTTATATACACGCGAAACGTCTTGACAGAGTAGGTTAGCTGTGTCCATACCGGTCGGCGTTGCCAGGTATGCATTGACATTTTCTGGTGGCGGCGAAGCCGCTACCCTACGAGAATTCGTTGCTTCATTTTCTTGTTGTCGTGGCATTATTATTATTTGTTCATGTATGTGAAATTTGCTTCTAAGGTTTATAAAATACTACTGCTAGCTGCTAGTCACGGCGTAAATGAAAACAAACAACATGCATTCACACAAACACCTCCCATCACAGCAATATTACGTTTCACGTGTATATAATTTTTTGATTTGTGTACACTTTAGCATGTACCTAGCAACAGCGTATTATTTTACTTATAAATTACGTAGATACTTTTTATTTTAGTTATCATCGGATGGTTGCCGCTTGAGTAACTATTGCTTTTATATTAATGGTGAAAAGTGTTATAAACCTTTTTCAAATGGATATTTTCATCACTATGAACCTAATGCTGAATATACAATTGGCTTTAACTATTCTACAAGAGCTGTAGATGGAATTATTCGTCACTTAAAACCTAATACTGAGTATACAATTGGTTTTAACTATTCTACAGGAGCTGCAGTTAGCAAAAATTTTAAAACTACAAATGGTGGTAAGTAAATATTGATTAATGAATATTTTATGTAGAAATTAAACAATATTGCAAAACCCCTTATTAACCAAAGTAACCGGTTGCGGGTTCGGTCCGATGAGGAGGAAAAAACTTCTGAATTAAAGAAAATGTGTATGGAATCCTCATAATGTACATACATCTTAATGGTTTATTAAAACAGCAATAAATAGCCAATAAGTAATAATATTAGGCAAAATAATATTTAAATAATTAATATACAACTCACCTAAATATACAAAAAACAATTTTGCACGTAAAATAATTGAACTGTGATCATCAATATTTCGAACATTAATATTCAGTGAGTGTTACAATTATTTGTAATCATAGAACAATAAATTAGTATATTGAAACAATAATACGGCTCACATTAAACAATAAACGCAAAACATCAAAAATTAATTATATTTTTCATTTATATAATGCAAAAATTCATTGACTAATGTTTGATGATTATTAATCTATGTTATCCATCTTTAAAACAATACATTGTTGTCATAGATCCATGAACGGTTTGCTCGAGTACCTGAAGAGAAGAAAAGGTGGCATCACGTAAATTGTTCTCGACTAAGCGGACTAATATGTAACGGCAGGCGATAAGAACGGCAGCCGTCTCAAATGGAAATTCAAGTTTTACATGTTTATAACTGTTTACTAATACCTAAAGTTTTAAGTTAATAGTGTTTCTATTGTGCCGTGATAATTGTTTATTGACATAACGTACAAAACTCTTAAATTAATGTCTATCGTTGGTAATATTATAGTATAAAAACTCAAAAGTAAAATATAAAACTTTAAAACGGTACCTGCCTTCCCCTTTAGAAATTGGAACGTGATTGCGATCAATATTATTCTACTACAAGAGTACTAGATAAATAATTATACCCGTAGTGTTGTACACCGATAAAAAACTTTGCTAGTGGGTATTAAACATTCAATAGTGTGTATTAAATTTTTTAATACTATATGAGACAGACAAACTGATTAATAGCAGCTATTAAACTTTTGTTCTGTCACAAGCAACTAATAAAAAAACTTTTCTTAGCGTTAGTAAATAATTTAATAACAGGTATTATACAGTTTAATAGAAAAACTAAATAATTTAATAGTCATTATTAAACAGCGTAATGATATGTATTGAACAGCCCAATAGCGGTTAGTTAATAAATTAATAACTGTTATTAAATGGTTTAATGATAAGCATTTGCAAGTTTTAATACTCCCTATTAAACCACTTTAATTGTGGTTATTAAATAGATTTATAGAAGTCGACCAAACCCCTTCACCCTAAATAAATTGGCAGTTGTCTCTTATTAAACTATAATAGTGTTATGTGAGCCATTTCATTATTCAGTCATGCTCTAACCCTACAAGTCCCTTTCTGTCTTATTTGACCTTTAAGGCTCAACTTGTCCAATTATTATACATAATTAAACCCCTTTAGACCAAACCTATGGGACGACTATGGCGGAGGTGATTTCGATGATGTTCGAGAAAGGACGAGATAATATTTCTGGACTGTTCGAAATATTTCTGGTTTGGTGGAGAAGCTTCTCGACTCCACCAAATTTTAGAAATTTGTATTTAAATATTGGTGGATGATCCATCAGATCAGTAGTTATATGGACAGTAAAGATAAATAGTAATTAGTAGATAGACAGTGGTGAATATAAATGGTGATCAGTTTAAAGACATTCGAAGTATATATAAATTATAATAGTTGTGTTATAAAATAAATAAGTGTTTAAATAAATTATTAATAAATAAACTGTTGTTTGAAAATAAACAAACATCACAATAGGAAATGTAGCCATATGTAAAATTTTAAAGTAAATACGTTGCATAGATTAAATCTATGTGGCTCTAGACCTACTTTTCAAAATTTTATTTAGGTTTTATGGAAAAACATCACAAAAACTTTTTTTTAACAATTTTTTATTATATTTTTTTAGAAAATAAACTGATAAAATTTTGAGGATTACACATAATTAAAGGTTTATATAATAAACTTTAAAACTAGTGTACTACTAAAAGTTTGCATACAGATATATTTCATATTAGCAACAATGCAAAAACCTTAGAAAACACAGAACAAGTTTATCTAAGTAATTTATTTCTGCATCATGTTTTAAAAATAAGAATATATAGGACAGGTGAGAAAAAATAAAGAAAATGTAAATACTTTTGAACTATTGCGTCAGTAAAAAATTCTAAAAAAATAAATAGAAACAAAACATATACGAACCCAGCCACATATGAAATGGACCTAAAGGGTGTGCAAAACATTAATTGGTCAATTCAATGGGCGATTTTTTGTTTATCACAATCCATTCTGCGCCTAGTAAAATGTATATAAAACACACACTGCACTTGTAATAGAAGGCGTTACCTTGCAATAAATGTTAATTTCAAAACACTAATAAGAAATTTAGACTAGCATAGAAATTTAACACCAAACAGTCGTGAATTATGCTTTTCTAATAGACACCTCTGGGATAATAATTTTCTAGGAGAGAGGGGCGCCAGTAATTCTCTTTTTTTAATTTTTAGAAAGCTAGTAAGAATTATAAACTCTAGCTTTATCAAAAAGAAATTAATAAAAACTTATATAAAATTTAATTTAAGTAAAAGAGAATTGTTGGAACCTTAAAAAAATAAGATTTAACATATAAATAAATTTGTTTATTTAATTATACGACATGAATTATTTTATAAAAATAAAAAATACTGAAACTTTCTAGATAATGATTTTTATCATACTGGTACCAACAACGATAAAGTTAAAACTCGTATCATACCAAAATCAATATTTCTTTAATGGCCTCGTGAATTAATTACCACTATGTATTGTAGATATCTGTAAATCTTCATAGTTAGGAATGTCGCCATCAACGATAACCTCGGTAGCTTCTTTAGCTCCAAAACATCCAATTGAAGAATTTAAAGATAGTTTCTGTTCAATTAGCAGTATCTAGCAGTGAATTTTCAGTATGAAGGAGATATTTTTGGTATTTTGGTATTAACCGAAAATAAGGTAATTTATTGGTGGTTATCAAATTTTTTTCTATTAAACATGTTTAATAGACCTCGCTTTCTCGGTGTAATCTGGAAACTAAATAACTAAATTATAAAAATAAAATACATGGTAGTACCTTAGGTTCATTACAACATTGACATTGATATTTAGTTTGTTAAATTACTTTCATAAAACGAGCTATACTTCATACAATATAGAAACCAATGCACGTCATCGATAACGTAATTAATTTTAGACCGTCACAGCTCCACACCGTCGCCAAATTTTGAAAATAAGTGGAGAATCTTTGAAAGTTCCGACAATTGTAGCTACAGAAAAGAAAAGCAGCTGTAAATCGTTGTGATATTAGCCAATAAGAAATACCAGTCAGTAGTAAGTTCTACGAAAGCTTCCTGGGGCCACCTTTTTATATAAAAAAATAATATTATCTCGCAATTGCGACTTATTTTCTCACAATTGCGACTTATTATCACGCAATTGTGAGTAACTAGCTCATAATTGTGACTTAATATTTAGCAATTGTGACTTATTATCTAGCAATTGCGACTTGTTATCACGCAATTGCGTGATGAACGTATTTATTGCATTTATTTTTCTATAATCTATGCATTTGAAGTTCTCAATTAATCAAATAATCAATTATATAGTTTTAAGTTTTATCAATTTTACATTATGATTGAATATTAAATAGGTATTATACCTCACTATACAGATCAACACAATAAGCCGAAAGTCAAAACCTAATTTTCACTTTTGTATCTGTATGGTAGAAATGTTACCACTATAACGAACTATACAATTTTTAACAAAAAAATGAGTAGTTTACTATGAGAAAAATATTAATTAGAAAAAATATATTATCGTAGATATGTACTTGTAGGTAGAGAAGGGCTATTCCTCGAACAGCTTCGGAAAACGGACTTTGAAAAATGCGCGGCCATATTTTTGTTTCTCATGTGTATTCATGATACTATTACTCGAGAAGATAAACCCACGCGCATGCGATCAGCCCATCTCTCTCGCGCGCCTGACGTCACTGGGAGACTACCCGACTCAGATCAGCCAGTTCTATCTATACGGCACCACAGAAAAATAAAAAGAGAAGGTTTGAATAAATGGCGGGACTTGTTTCCTTGTTGGTAGTTGAACCGTAAGCGCTTAGGGCGCTGCTATCACTAAATTCAAACCCGTTTTACACCTATAAAAAATATGTTTTCAAAAATAATGACAAAGAAATCAATAATTTTGCTGATTTACCTCTTTAAATTTCACTTTAATATAATGTGTGATCAAGAACAGGGATAATCGTTAATAATTTAAAGTTAAAGCTAAATTTAAATATTATTAGATGGTGTAAATCTGGCTTTGAAAATATATTAGGTTATGTTGCTATAAATATGTCAGCCTGATATTATTTTCATTTTCAAATGCAGGTGATACTTTTTTCAAATGTAGGTGAGTAAATTGTATTAATTAAGTGTAAGTTAGATTTAACTTTAGGGAGGTTCTTAAGAAAATCATTAACTTCTGATTCATTTAAATTTTAATTGCAGAAGTAAGTATTTTTCTCAAAAAACTAACAAGAAATTTTATGTTTTTCCTGATATTATTACTCTTAGGGCCCTATTCAGTAATTTATCGTTTATAGACGACATCGTTAAGCTAACGACAGTTCAACCAACGACTTTTATAACGATAATTTTTGAAACTCAATAACAAAGTCGTTACGTTGTTAAGTGGTAAGTGGTATTATAATTTAGTGTTTAGTGATAAAAGAACGTAAGTTGATGATTATACCGGGTGTTCAAATTAAAGTGTTACAGTTAAATATCGCCGAAAATATGCATTTTATAAAAAAAAGTATGAGATAAAAGTTTTATAGTTTTTTAGGGAAAACATTTTGGCTAAATTAATTTTTTTATAGCTGACCATAATATGGCCA